TTTTTTTTTTGGTGTTTTGAGGTGGTGTTGTGGTGATTCTCAAAATTAAAAAAAAAATTATTTTTTTTTGTTTTGAGAAACTAACAAAAAGAACGCATTTTCAACAATTTCAAAACAAACACTCAAAACACAAAACTCAAAATAAATTCAAAACTCAAAACACAAAACTGAAACACAAAGAGAACACCCCCTTAAACTTTACAAAACTAAAAATTCTAAAACTTGAAAATCTAAATTTCTTTATTATCAAGATCTTTTATGTCAAATCACAAAGAGAATTTTAAATCTAGAACATACCTCACTGGATCTTGATTTCGGATCTTGAATATACCCACAATATTTGAATTAAGAAAAAGACTAAATTGATCATTTTCAATTGAACAAAAGTAATCGAATTTGTCCCATATAGACGCAGAAATCAAATTTAGTTCAAAAGGACAGTATTACAAATGTCTCTTTCAAATTCAAATAATAACGGTCTTTAATAACCTAAAAATCCTCATAGCCTCAACTTTAACTAATTTATCATCGCCCCACGTAGATAAATCTTTCAGCATCAATTGACTTTTAGGCTATTTAGGCAACCCCGCATAGATATGTTTATTTGAATAGCGACACCGAAAATTATCTACAAAGTGTGTTTGGGTACTAAAACTAAATTAACTTCAAGTGTTCTATTTAGTATAATCTCTCTTCACGTGTCCCAAATTTTCACAAAAGTAATGACTAGATGATTTATAGTTTTTAGGCGTGTGCTGTTCTTTTGAACCGAACCGGATGTAACTTTCTTATTCTTTAACTTTTTTTTAGAGGTACTTGCCAAGTGAATACTTCCAGTTCTCTCTTCTTTTAGACTTTATTCTTCTTGCATACAATATAAAACAAGCTCATTAAAAGTCCACCTCCTCTTTCTTTGTTAGTTTTGAGCAAGATGAGACACATCCATGATGTATCCCCGTATATTTCCTTTAACCTTATACTTTAGTGAAACCAAACTTGCTAAAAGCGTACTAGTTTTGACCTTATCACTTTTTGTAAAGCGTTTTTAAATATTTATTAAGAAATTCATTGAAAGTTACCTTATTGGACACATCACCCCTGAATGTTGCTGAAAGTTTATGCTTCACGATCATAACACTTGTGCAGTTTGAATGATCTCACTTATTCGAGTCCTGTTTTACTAGCGAAACTCTTATCCGTAAGAGTAGTGGATTGTTCAGCCCTTAACGCAAGGTTTAGATCCATGCCGCTAAGAAATGTTCACTTTCCAACCCTTAAACTTTGGTTCAAACATATGAATTAAATTGATGTTGGCATATATTGCAGAAGTAAATGGACTAATTAATTCGATAACCTAAACCTAAATAACATGTTCACATGGAAATTCGTATTAGACAATCAATAATTTCAAATAACGGTGGGGCTATCATAAGAGATCGAATACAATATTGATATTTAGTCTTTGGACAAAAATATCAACTTATAAGTGGTACTCTTGGTGTGTAATCAAATATTGACAATAAATTCGTTCAAACATCAAATATATGTTTGGACCGATTCAATGTTCACATAATGAAAAACTTTATAATTGTCACATATTTATTACCATATGTGTGCAAATAATTTGGTCAAATATTAACTTTCCTTTGAGCTCATGAATATCTGCATGAATTATCTGTACACAATCTTCCTAATATTCCAAATAAATTTTAGGTTACTTTGGTAACATATTGTTTCAACTAATCTATTTTAGAAAATTAGTTATCTGAAATAAATACTAAGTATCAAGATTTGAAATTGATTGCCTCTTTATATTTTATTTTATTTTATTTTTCTCTTTTGTGGCCAAAATAAAAAATATATATACACAGAAATCGGCATTGCGGCCCCGAACTGGGTGTTGCGACGCTGGTCAACATTAGTGGCGCTGCCTTACGGCAAACATCGACGCCTTAACACTTAGGGTTGCAGCTACCGTTATAAACCAGAATATCCAAAAAATCTCAAAACTCTAAATTTTTTAGATTTTAAGGTTAAAATTCATATCCTAAATTGGAAAATCCAAATTATAACTCCCAATCCTAAAATTCTTTCTCGAATAATTTTGAGTTTCGAAATTTATGGCTAAAATTCATATTCCAAATTAAAAGATTCCAAAACTCAATATATGCGCCTTAACACTTAGGGTTGCAGCTACCGTTATAAACCAGAATATCCAAAAAATCTCAAAACTCTAAATTTTTTAGATTTTAAGGTTAAAATTCATATCCTAAATTGGAAAATCCAAATTATAACTCCCAATCCTAAAATTCTTTCTCGAATAATTTTGAGTTTCGAAATTTATGGCTAAAATTCATATTCCAAATTAAAAGATTCCAAAACTCAATATATGAATTTCAACCACAAAATTCTTCCTTTAATCCCAATAGTTTAAAATAGATTTGGCTCTAAACTAGAAACTTGTTGAAACTTTATACTTTACAAAACTAGAAATTTTAGAATTTTAAAATCTAAATTCCTTTATTGCCAATATTCTCCATGTCAAATCACTAAGAAAATTAATAACGTGGAACACACCTTAATTCTTTGGGAATGATTCTTTATTACTAGATCTTGAAACTTTAATTGCACTACTTTCATCTTTGACTTCTTCCATTTTAATTTTGAATTTTGCCTCATTGAATTCTTTAATTCTTGTTCTTGATTTTGCGTCTTGATCTATAGTTTTGATTATTGAATTCCTTTTCCTTGATTCTTGATTGTAGATTTTGGATCTTCCTCTTCAATATATTTTCTCTATTATTCTTGTGTTGATGAGATGACACAAAAAATGAAAAGTTACTTATAAATTGGTGATCATAACCATATATATAGTTTCCGTATGTATTTCGCTCGTTATGAAATATAATTATTGAGGAATTTAGTTTTTACACATATAATTCGGTCCATACTTTATTTAGACACGTTAAACCTCACAACTTAATTGTTTATTGAATCACTTTAATTGGGCTGAGCTTCAAGATAGTGTTATATACAATTAATTACATATGTAGGCTACTACAACATCAACATGGCAACAAATTAGTTTTTATAGGATTTCTAGTATTTCGTAATGTACGTATGTTGCTTGGCAATTCATAGTTATCCAACGAGCAGCAAATTATTGGACTTTTCCCTGAAAATACCATTTTTTTACTTTTCTTTTTTATATAATAAAATAAGATCATGGGTTTATGAACAAGTTGGGTTATGGGGTCTTTGATCTGGTCTTTTTTAATGTTTCTCCTTTTTTGGGACCATTGGGGAAATAGAACGGCTTAGATGGCTTTCCAAGGCTGCATAGAGGCGTATAAAAATAAAAATAAATAAATAAAAAGAAGAAGAAGAAGAAGAAGAAGAAGAAGAAGA